CCCGTGCTCCGCCGCTTTGCTTCCTCTCCCTGGTCTGCTGGAGACCAGGGAGAGGGCCCCGTTCGTAACTGCGGATCCGACATAAGTCGGATCCGCGTAACTCGGGGACTGCCTGTATTCTGATTAATTCCAGGACTTTGCATGCTCAACAGCCTCAAGCAGAGTATTGAGTGACAGCGCATGTAACCCGTGAGGCACAAGCATCATATCCCATATTAGATGATCTTATTATTACCGCAACAGAACAAATTGTCATTGGTGGATCAGTAATCATGGGGGAAGGACACTGTTACCTAGTAATAGCTGATCAACTTTTTACGGGTGCCAGAGTCCCCGAGAGCCTCTTTTGTCTTACTCCTACAGTGACTCGGGCTTTCCCTTTCTTTCGTAAAACCCTCTCTCTCCAGCAGGTTATCGCTGCACTCCTGGCTATTGAGTGACTAGCTCTGTACCTCTGGCTCACATGGGGGAAAGCTAGTCCTCACAATTCTCCCCCACCACAATACCCTCTGCCCCACATGGATGCCTATTCCCATAGCTCTCCCACAGCACATCCTCTCTTCCCCACATGGAGAGACCAGTCCCTGTAGGTCTTCCTCCCCAGAATCTCTTCTGCCCCTCTGCTTAGCTCTCACTTCTGAGTAAACTTTGCCCTACATGGAGAGACCTGTCCCCACACATCACTCTCCAAAGCATCTTCTCTGCCCCACTTAGAAAGGACTGTCTGCATAGCACTTCAGAATCCCCTCTTATCTCCTATGCCCACAGATCTCCCCCCGCTCTGAGTGCCCTCAGCCCCGCACAGAGAATTCTGTTCTCATAGCTCTCCCCATAGTGTCCCCTCTACTCCACATAGAGAGCCCTGTCCCCATAAGTCTTCCTCTCTAGAATCCCCTCTGCCCCACATGGTGCCATCTGTCAGCTTTTGCTCCCAGAGTCCCCTCTGGCCTATACAGTGAGAACTGTCCTTATAGATCAGGGGTAGAGAACCTTCTGCCTGGGCACTGAATATAATCTGTTGCTTAATTTCATCTGGCCCTTGTCCCACACAGAATCCTGTCCCCCGCACATTTTCTTTGCCCCACATGGACACCTGTCCCCATTGCCCTCCCCCAGCATTCCCTCTGCCCCACATAGACGCCTATCCACACAACCCACCCTGGCGGCATCTCCTCTGCCCCAGACACCTGTCCCCACTGCCCTCCCCCCAGCATTCCCTCTGCCTCACACGGACATCTATCCACACAGCTCTCCCTGGTGGCATCTCCTCTGCCCCAGACACCTGTCCCCACAATCCTCACCACAGCATCTCCTCTGCCCCACACGGACACCTGTCCCCATTGCCCTCCCCCCAGCATTCCCTCTGCCTCACACGGACATCTATCCACACAGCTCTCCCTGGTGGCATCTCCTCTGCCCCACACGGACACCTGTCCCCATAGCTCTCCTGGTGGCATCAACTCTGCCCCACACGGACACCTGTCCCCACATCCCTCCCTCCCCCCCCACATCATCCCCTCTGCCCCACACGGACACCTGTCCCTACATCCCTCTTCCCCAGCATCTCCTCTGCCCCACACGGACACCTGTCCCTACATCCCTCTTCCCCAGCATCTCCTCTGCCCCACACGGACACCTGTCCCTACATCCCTCTTCCCCAGCATCTCCTCTGCCCCACACGGACACCTGTCCCTACATCCCTCTTCCCCAGCATCTCCTCTGCCCCACACGGACACCTGTCCCTACATCCCTCTTCCCCAGCATCTCCTCTGCCCCACACGGACACCTGTCCCTACATCCCTCTTCCCCAGCATCTCCTCTGCCCCACACGGACACCTGTCCCTACATCCCTCTTCCCCAGCATCTCCTCTGCCCCACACGGACACCTGTCCCTACATCCCTCTTCCCCAGCATCTCCTCTGCCCCACACGGACACCTGTCCCTACATCCCTCTTCCCCAGCATCTCCTCTGCCCCACACGGACACCTGTCCCTACATCCCTCTTCCCCAGCATCTCCTCTGCCCCACACGGACACCTGTCCCTACATCCCTCTTCCCCAGCATCTCCTCTGCCCCACACGGACACCTGTCCCTACATCCCTCTTCCCCAGCATCTCCTCTGCCCCACACGGACACCTGTCCCTACATCCCTCTTCCCCAGCATCTCCTCTGCCCCACACGGACACCTGTCCCTACATCCCTCTTCCCCAGCATCTCCTCTGCCCCACACGGACACCTGTCCCTACATCCCTCTTCCCCAGCATCTCCTCTGCCCCACACGGACACCTGTCCCTACATCCCTCTTCCCCAGCATCTCCTCTGCCCCACACGGACACCTGTCCCTACATCCCTCTTCCCCAGCATCTCCTCTGCCCCACACGGACACCTGTCCCTACATCCCTCTTCCCCAGCATCTCCTCTGCCCCACACGGACACCTGTCCCTACATCCCTCTTCCCCAGCATCTCCTCTGCCCCACACGGACACCTGTCCCTACATCCCTCTTCCCCAGCATCTCCTCTCCCCATCGGCCCCACAGCCGGCAACGGGGACTGAGCGCCCACGTGCAGTATTAACCTGGCCAGCTTCCCACCCCTGCGGCCCCAGGGCTCCTGGGCAGGAGAGAGCCGCAGGGCCCTCCCCGTGCTCCCTCTGCAGCATCTCTCACCTGCGCTACAGCTCACAGAACCGGTGCCTGGTAGCCCCTGTGGGCATGGGGGGGACATTCTGCATGCTGCCAGACAACAAGGCTTGCTGCATGAGTGCCTCCACCCAGGCCCTGCCTTAGGGCAAGGTGGTTGCCTTGGGCACCGCGTCTTCAGGGCCCCATACTGCCCAGCGCCTGCCCGCCCGGCTGGGAGCTGCCCGGCCACACGCTGCAGCCAACCACAACATGCTGCCTTGGGCCCCGCAAACTCTTTGGCCAGGCCTGACTGCGCCTTCACCAGCAGGAGTCGCCCGCAGGCAGGGGAAGGGAGCCATTTGGGTGGGAGTGAGGAGTCACAGGCTCGCTGCAGTGACGCTGACACCCAGGCCAAAGTGCAAAGGGCATCATGAGCCCAGCTCTGCCATGGCGATAGGCCACCCGAGGGAATGGGATGTGCAAGGACTGCAGCTTCCCTGAGGGCCTGCAGCTGGGTAGGATAGTTCAACACACAGGGTTAAACTCTGATACAGCAAGGGAGGGAGATGAAGGACCCCAAACTAAAGCCTGTGTGACTGACCCCAGTACAGTTGTCGTATGGTATGGAGGCATGTGGCTTTGTCAAGGCGCAGGTCAAGTGGAGAGATCCGGTCTCCCCTCATGCCCCTGCTCCCCATGAGATGATACAAAGTCGCTTACTTGTGGCTTCTCCTTGTCTCATTGTGGAATAACACAATCACAGCTAGGAGAGGCCATGTGCTGGGGAAGATGAGCAACAACCCCCCGCCCCCATCCACTTCTCTCCCTTCTCCAAAAGCCCAGTCCCATGCTTTAGTGCTGGGCTAATGGATGTAGTGCAGCTTCATATAGGAGGGAGCTTTCCCAGATGGCTGGGATGCAGTGTGGCATTTGTGCCAGGACTGAGCCTGGCACTTCTGGGCCTAAATAAAAAAAAAACACTCCAGCCCAGGCACCTCTTCAATTACAAACTGAGCACTGCTGGGATGGCCAAGCCCCCATTCCAATTCGCTCTGTGTGGCTTCTGGGCTCACGCACACCTTGGTGCTGCGTGCTCTGCTCCACGGGCCCAACCATGAGATTTCCCCCAGCACCCAGCAACAGACGGTTCTTCCAGCAGCATCTCTAGCATCAACTGCTGGACCTTGCTCCCGCAGCAGCACCCACTGTACAACTACAACCATAGCCTCACCCCGTCAGTGGCCACAGCAACATCCATGCAGGACTCATGACACCCCAACGTGCAGGAACACCTTTACATCCCCAATTACCCCTCTCCAACAAGCAGCTTACCTATGCTGCCAGCAGCACCCCAGGGACCCAGCAGCACCCCCGCCCTCATGCAAGCCCAGCAGCACCTGCATCAGCAAAACTCACTCTAATCCTACCACTCAGCACCACCTGTACTCCTGCAGCTGCACCCACTGCACCCAGCATCACCCCCTGCCTCTACACCCACCCATCCGGGGGGTTGTGTCCCTGTGAAAAGCTGGTTGTGTCTCTGTGGGCAGCAGCAGTGGCTGGTATCAGACGTTGTAACTAGGGGAAAGGGGAAGGATTTCTCTCTGCCAAAGGGATCCACTGATAACCCGAGAGGTAGAGGGAGGGAACTCAGAGTGCCAGCCTGAAGCAAGGCACACGCAAGGGGAGTCCTGAAGGAGCTGCACCCATAATGGAGGTAGTCAGAGCAGGTCTCCTTTGCCTGCTGCTGCTGGGGAGCTGGGCCCAGGGGCCTCTTCCCTCTGAAGCCTCTCCCCTCTCCCAGGAGGGAAACCTTCCCCTAAGCGAGGACCTTCTGCTGCCGGAGATCGGTGAGACCACCCCACCTCATCCTGACGTCCACCTCATCCGAAGCAAGCCATCTGCTCATGTGAGGCCGTACAGCCTGTCCCGCTCCCCCAGTGACTACCACTACTCTCCCAAGCCCAAGCATCTCAGGGCCCCTCGGTTGTTGAAGCTCCTGGGCCCCTCGTACGACCCCTTCTGGATGTCCCCGCAGGATCCACGAGGCCGCAACACCAGCCTGGAGCAGCTGGGCACCCTGAGCCAGGACCTGGCCGATGGCACCAGCCGTTACCGGAAGAAGCTGCTGCGGGAGGCTGAGAACGTGGAGCTCCCTCGTCTGCTGCCCCTTGAGGAAGGGTTGGCCAGTAACCTCAGTCAAGCTGTCGCCCACCGCCTCCGTCAGTGGCTGGTGGATAGCGCCACCTGCTCTCTGACCTCGTCTTGGGTGGATCTGGGGCCTGTGTTCTGGCCACGTTGGGTCCGCCACACGGAGTGCGACACCTCCCACACTGGCTGCTCCTGGCCGCCTGGCATGACCTGCCGCCCCGCCCAGTTCACCCACATCAAGCTCCTGGTCTGGCACTGCTGGATGAGCAAGGACCCTGTCATAAGCATGGGCAGGATGCTCCAGCAATGCACTTGGAGACAGATCCCCTACCCAGTAGTGTCTGCTTGCAAGTGCTCCTGTCGGTAATAGGACTGTGAGGAGTGGGTGGCTCTTCCCCCACTGGAGGTGTGGGGTCATGGCTGCATTGCCACCTCAGTGCTCCTGCAAGGGGTTGCTATCGTGTTGCAGCTGTTTGAAATTGTCTGCACAGCCGGAGCTTGAGCGGCTGAGCGGAGGATGGCATGGCTCCACCCACATTCTCTGCTGCAGATAGAGCTGGGAATCCCTCACAGATACTCTCATCCCCACCTGGACCAGCAAGAAACCACAGACTGATGCTCCTCTGACCTTTTCCTCCACTACCACCAGGATCCTGCATCCTCCTGGAGGAAGCTGAGGCAGTGAGAAGCAGGCGATCCCTAGATATTTACAGAAGAGGGGGAGCAGAACTTGGGCTCCCCTCCCATATCCAAGGGAAGGAAGCCAGGAACAGAGTGCCATGGGAACTGGAGGCACCAGCAGTCCTCACCGGTTTAGATTCAGAACGCTGTGGCTTTGGGATTCAGGGGACAAAGTGCTATGGAGTTGCTGGCTGTGATTACTATCACAAGGAAGCCCAGCTGTCTGTGTGGCCTGGAGAAATAAAGTTATGGAGTAATAACTAGTAGGCATATGTGTGATTTAATATAGAGCTAGAGCCAAATCAAGCCCTTTGCTTTTCAGAGCTACTTGGCTATGTGGCACAGCCTGCTGGGTCTTTGCTTATGGGTTACAGGCTCAAATCCCCATGTCAGGACATAAACTCATCCCACTGCAAGATGAATCCCAAAGGGAAGTATGCACTGTGCTGCTCTGTTAAACCATAGTCCCTGGAGCAGGGATGGGTAATAATTTTCATGGGGGAGGGTTCCTCCATGAATTTTGGTATGTGCTCACAGGCTGGCTCTGGGTTCCTTGGAAGGGGTGTGATCTCAGGTGGAAGTGGTGGGACTGGGGATTAGAGAAAGAGAGAGAGATGCTAGGTGTGAGATACAGACTTTGTGACAGATTGAGTGTGCACAGCACAAAGATGGGAGAGTGTGCGGCAGTGTGTGTAAGACAGCACAGAGACAGTGTGGCACAGACTAGGTATGCGTGACAGTGACACAGAGAGTGTTTGTGCTGGTTGCTGCCAAGCAAGTTTGTGGGAGAAGCAGAGTTGTTGACTCGAGTCCCACGACTTGAACTCAAGTCCGACTTAAGTTGCCTAGGTGACTCGACTTGAGACTCGACTTGGGTTCATTGTTTGTGACTTGAGACTTGACATGAGACTTGCTAATTTTGTTAAACCGACTTGGTGAAAAAATTGTCCGAAAATGCCGATATTGATGGCGTGTACAAAAGTGACTTGACATTTTTTAAATTAAGACTTGAGATCCGACTTGGGACTTGAAAGTGACTTTTGGGACTCAAGACTCGACTTGAGACTTGAACTGTAGTGACTTGGGACTCGACTTGGACTTGACAAGGACAACTTGAAGACAACACTGGGGAGAAGCCACGTGCTCTTTAAGACAGGGAAAGCTGTCCCCCCCACACCCGACTCTGCAGAGATTGGGTATGGGAGGGAAGTGTGTGTGAGAGAGAGCACAAGAACTGAAATCTTAGAAACAGTGCACTGCCTCTTCAGACAGGCACTCAGCTCTGAGTCACCATTCACGCTTCAGATTGGAGTAGCTCTGCTGTTTCCCTCTCCCCAACCCCTGCTCTGCAGAGATGGGGTACAGGACAGAGGGACCCCCTTAATTCAGCACTCCCCTTTCTCCTCCACTCATCCTCCTTTCTGCACAGCTAGCAGGAATTTCCTGGGAGCAGCTCAGCTGGCAAAACCGAGCAAGTTGGGGAGCGGGGCAGCTGAACACATGCTGCCAGCTGTAAGTAAATGCATGGTCTGCTAATCAGCTGAGCGGGCGGGACAGAAATGTTTGTTTGGCCAAATTCAGCCTGCAAGCTGGATTTTGCCCACTGCTGGGCTGGAGGATTCCCGGTGCTGGCAGAGAAGGCAGTACTAGGGTGGGAGGAGGTGGGTTCTATATTGTGGGCCTGCCTGAACCATAGCCCTCTGCAATCATGAGCGCCAGCCCCTGAATGTTACTGGGCACTGGGGTGGACTCAGAAGTGGGATCCCTTCTGCTCCCCTTGCCCCTTACCTGGGAGCAAGGAGGAGAGTGACGGACAAGGCTAGTCGGCCAGCGCCAGAAGGAAAGGCAGCGGTTAGCTGTTTACACAGGGAGTCCTTGTGCATGGCTGTTGTTTTAGCAATTTATCTGCTGTGAAGGACTTGGGACAGGGTTGGCTCCATTTCCCGACATAGCCCAAACAAATGAACCTGCAGCAGCCCTGTGCCTCGTGTCTCTGTGGCTACCTTCAGTCAAGCCCTGCTTTCCCCTAGGGCTTGGCCTGTAGCTTCTGACCCAAACCAATTACAGAGAAATGCCTGCCTGCAGCTCAGGACTTCTCTGCAGAGAGCAGAGTTCATGGGGCTCTTGCAGATGGGGTTCAACCACTGCCTTGGCCTCAGTAGAAATGAGCTCAGTGAATCTCAGCCCAACACAGAGCCCCAAAGCCCAGCTTGGAGACTTCAGTCCTTTTCTGTGTGCGGGACTGGAAAGCCAGGAAAGCTGCAGACTAGAATTTAGCACGCACGTTGCAAACAGTGGCAGGTCAGGAATACAGCCGCTGCGGGTCAGGCTCAAGATACACTAGTGCAGCTGTGTGGGTGGCGGGGGGCTGGATAACATAGGAGGGAAGGAGCTGCAGGTCCGGATTGAGGTACATCAGCAGAACTATGGAGAGCCCTTGACTAGACTAGCAGGGGAGGCACGGCCTTGGCCTTGTGTAGTCTGCCAATTCCTGTGGCGCGCTCAGCAACACGCTGTGAGAAGCTGCGGCGTCTGCACGGTGCGGTTTACATCAGGAAATCCTGAGAACTACAGCCTGGCAGCGAATTAAACACCAACCCCAATCCTGCCATGACCAAGGTGTTCTTTGTTTGCAAGATGGCATTTCTACACCCCCAGCCTGCCCAAGCGCTCATCTTGCTCCTGCCGCTGTAGAAAGCGTTGTTTGCCACAGAACGGGATCTCGAACCAGAGCAGCTGTTGGGGGAGGACGTGGATGGCGACAAGGGGTTTGGTGGGGAAAGGGGAGCAGGAGGGTGGAGGGGACAGAGGCGGCAGCATTGGCAGACGGAGTGGGGAGGCTTGGGCAGCTAGCAGTGACGTCAAACTTTTCTCACTGGAGGTTGGCAGCAGGGTGAGGGTGGGGTTTGGGCCACTGGGGCAAGGAGGCAGATTGGTCTTGTTACTAGAGAGTTTGGCAGCAGCAAGAGGGGCACTGCCTCTCTTTTCTTCCCCTCACCCGTTTGCTTACTCTTCCCACCATCCACCTGCATGCATTGGCTCAGCAATGAGCTGACATGGGTGCAGGATCAGAGTAGCAGGGAGATCTGCAGGCCAGGACGGAGGGGCACTGGGGGAGCAGGTCTGGAATAGCAGGGGGCAGATCAGGAACATGCTGCATTGGTAGAGCTGCATGGGAGTCCAGGACAGGAACAGAAGTGCACCAGAGACAGGGGCAAGCCTGGCACCGAGCATGCTACTCCTGTGGGTGACAAAGGGGCATCAACAGACACAGGCTATGAGGTTAAAGGGGCCTTAGTTGATACAAGTGATGGAAACTTTACTCAGGGGCTCAAAGCCCCCTGGCCTGAGGCTTAGATGCTCCCTGTTGGTGCGGTGGTACAATGGGGCCCAAGTGGCAGGTGGCTTCCACTCATCTTCTGTGGCCATGAGCCAAAGCTGACTTGTGTTGGCACTGTCATGGCTATCCTCTCAGCCAGGGGGGCCCTGGGCAGATGTTTGCTCTGAATCAGATGGCATTGGTGCCCACTAGCTCTATGAAACTAGAGGTTAGCACCAGGCTGGAGCTCACCACATGAGAAGCACTCACACAAGAGCACTTTGGGAACTAGAGCAAACGTTCTCTTGACGCTTAAGCCCCATCTCATTTTAAAACCAAGCAAGGCCCATTTGTTTTCATCTGCACAGAGATTGTCTGCTGGGTAGCTCCTGTCCCAGGCTCTTGACCTTTCATCTCACTCCTGAGCACCCAGGGACCCAGAGGCAACAGCAGCGAGTGCTTACATGGAAAAGTAACATGGAAGCAATGACTAGATCCAGTCCTGCAGCATCTCTGCTGCCTGAGGGGTTTCTCCTGGTGCCTCTTGTGGACCAATAGTTACAAGTGGAGACAAACCGGGCTAGTTCTGCCTCCTTGCTGCAGCTGCTTTTTACAGGTGTCTTGTGGCAGTCCGACAAGACCATCCAACTAATTTTCAAACCACATCACTGAATAAAGAACTGCCAAGAGAGATGCCCCAGCTCTCACTCTTAATAAAGACCATGTAGACTAGATGGGCAAAACACAGCTGCCCAGCTCCTAAGTCAGGTGGGCTGCCCTGGGTTCACAGCACCTGGCCTCAGATGTCTCCCTGTTTGCTGCTGAGTAATCTTTACACGTCTTGCACAGACTGGTACCTCCTTAGCTTGGGGGGCTGCCTCTTGCTTTTTAGAGGAGCAGTTACACTTCCCACCACAGCTCCCAGGAATGCGGGGGGTGGGGGGAGATCAGCTACTGGCTAATATTTTTGCTGCCCTGCCCCGCAGAGTGGTGCTAACACACGGCCCCCGCATGCACACACATAAGGCGGAATTTTCCAATTCAGAGCAAAGATGATGCTAAAAAATGTCCTGCGTGCTATGTCGGGTTCACATCTGGCTCCTGCAAAGTGAATCACTCACGAAGACTTTAATACACAAATGCCAGGGTCCAGCCTTGCCCCGTTTTCTGGCATGTTATAATTGCATGAATGGTTCCAAATGATAGGCTTCCCTCCTTGCAGGCGATCTTGTGTCCTCAACCCTGGGAGACAACACAGCCTCTGAACTCCCTCCCTCTAGGAACAGACATGGGGCACCAGCGCCCTCTACTGGATGGTGATTGTATAGGTAAGAAAGGTGTCAAGAACCTTGTCCCCAGTCCAACCT